GAAGAAGGAGCTACCACCACTGACTTCTGACAAGCAGAACATATCCAGCAAAAAGTTTGTTTTGCTATACTCAATTTTCAATTTATAACACAACATGTTATATACGTAGCTTTTCCAAGTCTTAATATTCATATTAAAGGATTTAATTAAAACTTTGACATTCGTCAAAGCTTCTGCCGCGATTTTATTAAATACAAGTACATTTTCATTACTGTATACTGAGTGTGTTTCATTTCACAAAACTTACAATATATATTACTTTTTTGCAACTACAGATATTTTAAGATATTCTACAGAGTTAAAAAAAAAAAAACAACAAGAGAACTGTTCTATAAAGCTGATTTTCAATTTAAGATACTGGTATGGAATGTATGATGAGTGCTATAAGGTGGCAAGAAACAATATGACGATATTATACTGTACGTAGCAGCATTTCATCACTGGTTGGGATTAATAGGAGCGGATTAAGTATTGCACAAGGTCATGTTTTCTCTGACAGTGTATTCTTCTGTGCTATATATGCTTTTATTTGATGAACATTCATGAAAATAGATTGCATCTCTATCAAAATTGCAACTTTTGTGGGGTAAAATATTTGCGTGTTGCTTAGATGACTCCTTCCTATGCCAAGGTGTTGTATTATACAATATTCTTTTATCGTTTTTTATATTTTTTCATACTTCATAACCTTGTTGTATTGTATTTTAATGAGTAGTTATGGCAATTGTTTGTTGTTTACAGATATTCAAATTTCATAAATCGATTAAGAAAACACATCAAGATAACGAACAAAAACTGAGGGAATCGCAGGAACTGAAAGGAGCGAGGCCGGATCCGCCAACAGGATAAACGGATCCTGTTATGCAAATCCTTCCTCAAACATAATGACACAATCGTTAAAATTACAGATTAGACGAATGGTATGGAAAGACCGAAGATTGCAAAAACAAGTCGATGGTGAGTTGTGACACAGATATATAATATCGATGTTGACTGTAAAAACTTATGTAGCTTTGATTTCAGTAGTTCTTTCCTTTGGAGCAGAAACATACTCTTACTAATAAAGTCTGTATAGTATGAACATGCACCAGATATTTAGATATGCGAATGCCATAGGATGGATCACAGGGTATGTTACTGCTGATAAATTGGAAGTTAACAATTGAAAAGTTTAGATCATCACGCTTGTCAAAGATTCTAGTAGAAGTCGTCAATATCTGGTGAAAGATCAAGATATATGCTATGTGAGATGCAAGCAGTTATTGACATGTTAGTTATTGAGTGACTGGTCATCACCAATATATCTGAACGTGAAATTAAAGAACGTTACAAGATTTTTATTTTTATGTTTGTCTTTTAGAAGGTTTTGTATGAATTCTGCTTCATAGGAGTACAAAAGCAAGTTAGTATCCGTTGGAATACTGGCTGTCTGTTGCAATATCAGTCCACCAAACTCATCAAGTAAGTTGTAGGTCAAACATAAAGTTTTTTGTAGAAATATCTGTTTTACCAGACGATGCATTCGAACTTTCAATTGAACAATAGCAAATTACTTTCTCGTTTCTCTTTTTCATTGATGCATTGCTCAATAGAATATAAAGCAATTGAGCGTCTCTCGGATTTCCGACATCAGTATGATAATTCCCTTCAGATTTGTTTTTGGTTTTAGGCGGAATACATATATTCTATTCGAATGAACACTCTTTGCTATTATCTGTAAAAATGTGTATTAATTATTTGCTTTCCAAGATTGCTGCCTCAATTTGTCTATCACTCCCATGCCATCTTAATCTTAGTGTCAGATAAAATGTTTTTGCCTTTCCTGTTTGTTTTTTTTTTTTGTGGTGCCCTGGACAAAAAATCTGTACATTGAGCATGTAAGTTCTTTAGCCTAAGCATTTGGCCAAATTTTAAAAGGTGAAATAATTTTCAAAAACAGAGACTAGACAAGTCTGTTACATGTTACAGGCAGAACCAACACAAACATCGAATAGCGCAAAATACAATACTAAAAATTGAAGCGACAAACACAAATCCTATAAAACTAGGGCTGAATTTGTTTCTGCACCACTAGTTGCATGATTCATGTTTCCAAATGCAAGTTCAAATCCGGTGATAAGTCACAGTTTGTAACTTCACGACAAAATGAGGTTACATGAAGGATTGCGTCTGCAATAAATAGACAATATCCGTTATTATCTGTGACAGATAAAATATTAGTCAACTAAATCATGATGACTTCCGTTAATTTCCTTTCAATGTTCTGAATTGTATACAGATAGAAAAGATGTAAACATATTTTTAAATTTCTGGACCTTTGTCAGGTCTGAATATGAAAATACGGACCTTTATTCATAGAAGCCTATAAGACACCCCATAGACAGCCATTGTGTTCATATAAACACATTATGGGGTTTGTAATATAAAAGTAGATATAATATTTAAAAAACTGGGAATCGCATGAACTCCAACGGTGAGAAAACGGATGCGTCGCAAAAAAACATGAAAACAGAAACAAAAAAAAAATAAATAAATAAAAGGAATAATAAGTTGTTAATCCTAGATATACATAGCCAGTATTAAATTTCGATAAGTTAAATGCAAATGTTGAGATTAAATGCCAATATTTAAACGTGCAAACTATGCATAAGGTTAAAAGAGCTATATATATTTCAAATCTCGAATTCTATATTCTGATATTGCGATTAGAATTTCGAAATTTCAATTTCAAACTTTCACTTGTGAAGTGCGATTTTTCGAGTGGTATTTCTGGTTTTCCTATACTCTTTAACAAGTTGAAAAAGGAGTTTGCACACTTCGGTTGTCAATTCTTCTTTGCCTAATCCATCAGTTAATTTTGCTTACAATTATGATTGTGTACAACTTGATGATTATCTCATTGGCTCCTGTTTCAGTAAACATTTTATTGTAAAATTGAATTTAAGAGATAAAAACTTCTGTTATCATTGGCGATAAAAGAGGGACGAATGATACCAGAGGGACAGTCAAACTCATAGATCGAAAACAAACTGACAACGTCATGGCCAAAAATAAAAAAGACAAACAGACAAATAATAGAACAGATGACACAACATAGAAAACTAAAGACTAAGCAACACGAACCCCACCAAAAACTGGGGGTGATCTCAGGTGCTCCGGAAGGGTAAGCAGATCCTGCTCCACATGTGGCACCCGTCGAGTTGCTTATGTTATTACAAATCCGGTAAGTCACATTCGTGAAAAGGGAAGGGTATTGTAGTTACGACACAAGGAACATATCCGATATCATCTGTGAAACGGTTATTCCATAACGGTCAACCAACTCGTGATGGCGTCCGTAAAATTTACGAAGGGATGACTTCAACTTCACCATTTGGAACTCTTGGTTTAATAGCTTCCTTGTGAGCAGCAATCCTCTATCAAGGAAATCATGATAGGAAACACAAGCCCGGGAATATCGTATCAATTGGGAGATATATACTCCGTATGCAGGCGCTGCTGGAATGTTGCTACATAGAAATGGAAAGTTCACAATTGGGAAGCTGAAATCATCTCTTTTGTCGTAAAGTTTTGTTTTCAACCGACCCTCATTGTCAATTTCTAGATGTAAGTCAAGATATGAGGCAGACTTAACTGTATCTGTAGTATCCTTTATCTCTAGTTCGATGGGATAAGTTATTGCAAAATGCTGGGCCAGATTTTAAGTTACTGATGACGAAAGAGGGGTTTTAAATCGGAACACTGATGCAGGACAAATGAGGTCTAAACACTCGCTAAACAATTAGAAGATTATTAAGTGAAATGATATTATCAATACATACATATGTTTTTCCCGTTCTGTGATGTATAACACATGTGCCTCCTTCTGAGTACTAAACCCATGTGGTAGTAACATCTCGGAACAACTGCATGTAAACTGAACTCAGCTGTGGGGGGAACAAAGGTGTAAGATGGAAAAATGTGTGTTATAGAAGCAAGTTAATATTGTCATGATCGATACTTTAGTCTAGGAGAACATGATTTATTTTTTAGTTGTAATTGGCTTTCAATTAGCTTTCAGAAACTGCGAGTATTCTTATTTCGGTTCTTTGTGTCTATTTGTTTTTATCATTTTATGTTAGTTGTATTTGTGCCTCGTACACATGTACCGATCTTTTGAGTTAAGCAAATTGCAACTGATTTTAAAGTTTGTTTTTAAGTTATGTTGTAACACAACTGTCCCAGGTTAGGTGAGTGTTGAGTGCTCAAAAACATGTTTAACCCCGCCACATTCTGTATTTGCCTGTCCAAAGTCAGGAGCCTGTACTTCAGTTGTTGTCATTTGTTCATTTCTGTCCTATTTGTTTTTCGTAAATTAGTTTGTTTTAAATGATGCTGTTAGTTTCCTCAATTAACTGGTTTCACATTTTTCATGTCGGGGCCATTTTATAGCCGACTATTACGGTATGGGTTTTGCTCATGGGTGCCTCTAATTGTTTACATCTACTTCATTTGAATTTTGATGACAGATGTCAAATTTGCAATCATCCACATCTCCTTTTTTTATATTGCTTTAAAAACTGAGTGATCACAAAAAAAACATATACTGTGCTTAACATATGCAACTTGTCTTTAGACTCGATACGATTTGGAGCTTGATAAAATATAAAGACACCTGCTTTTTGTTAAATGACATTATATAACCATTTTTTTTCGGTTGCGTTCTCGTTGAAGCATATCCCACATCTTCTATTATTAATACTACATGTGTTTAGAACTCAAATGACGATCTGACAAGGAGAAATAGTAATATTAAACGAAAAACCAAAATCTTTAACAATAACATTTTAGTTAAGGGGAGAATAAACGGAAAACAAAAGGTCGGTTTTATTAGTTGAGAAATGTCAAAGGATCAAAGGGGCAAATAAAAAGAAATGGATCCAGGTCCAGAGTAAAATCAAGAAAAAAAGGCGTCTACCTTTGACATAACTTCAATATATTATATGAGATACATGCGGCTTAATAGTCAAGTAATTGATATCTTCATTCACTTTTACAAGAAATTTAATTGAAACGTTTTTTTCGAAGCGATAAACAGTTAAACCCGTAGATAATGAGCACATTTAAGATTATACAAGTGAACCATCTGTAGGTCGTGTCATTGAGACTCCATTACTCTGGTTGAGCATCATAAATTCTTTTCTCATAGACTCATTGTCAGCACATGGTAGTCTAGAACACAGTAATCTCAACAATTCTGATCGAAAATGCCGAGCAGTAACAATATATATGAAGATATTACAAGAGTACTGGGAAATTCCAACCTCATCTAGAATTTTCTTAAAAACAAGCCAGTGTAGATATTTCTGCCAAACTGGATCTACAGCTATTCCACTCGTTGTTAAACAGGGATCACCATATGGAAACACTTGATATTGAAATAAATATATTATAGTGATTGGTGCTGTTGTAAATATTCTGTAAAAAGACACAGCCATGAGTGTCAGGGTGGTCGGTAGTATCTTAGAAGCAGTTTTTCGATGTAACATTTGTCCATCGTTTGAAATAGAGCGTTTGGATATTGGCGCTGATTCCCGTCTGAATTTTGTGGCTTCCCTTGCGGTTTTCATTACCAGTATGTTGAAGACCAAAGTGACCACTGGTATAACAATGAAAATTACAATTTCCGTAATATAAGACCAGGTTTCATAAAATGTTATATACATTGGTTTTATTTCACCATTTTCTACAGTCCATCCTGTTATTTGTCCGAGTGATATGATCAGAGCAAATGCTGTTAAACAAGCTACCTCTTTCGGTGCTCTGGAATGTCTTGAAAACCTCTCACTTTTAAAAGGTCTAATTATTGATACCAATCTCTCACAGGTAAATCCAAACACTAACAGAGGACTCATATACTGAGAAAAATAAAACAACACAAAGAAAATTGTACACCACACAGGATATCTTAATGTTGGTTTTCCCCAGGCATATTCCAGCTCCATTAACATATGCAATGTCAACATCATAGTGTCAGTTATAGCAAGAACAGATAAATACAGCGAAGATGTATTTAGTCTTTTAAGCCTTCTGTTTGACCAAATATGGATTGTTAAGATATTTCCGAGAAAACCAATGCAATACCAAAAAGGAGAAACAACTCTATCTATCAGTATTGCTCGTGGAGCGAATAAAGTGTAAACACATAATTCCCATTCGGTTGTACCTTTGTTATCTGGACAGAAGTCAGTATTGTTAGTAAAGTTGCTAATATATGAAGTTCCGTTGCAATCCATTGTTTCTCTGATGGGAACTGGGATATCTTCAGATACTTCTATGTTTCATGTAACCTGCAACAATAACACTATTTAAAATTTGGATTCAAAACTATTTTAGAAATTGAGTCGTACAACCGTGCTAGAAATATACATTTGAACGCAATTATCAAATGATTACAATGTACCGTATTTGTTAGATAATTTTATGAATTAAAGTTCAAGTCTTACGGGACATTTAGAATTCGGTTGAATGATGTAGTGAGAGCTGATGTATATATTTTACCACGAATTCTTTGTATATAAGCAGACATGCAAAAGAATAGTGTTATTGACATAAATAATTCCTGACAACCAAATGGCTGCACTTCTCATACCTTTCAACGATCAATCTTTTAAAACGCTGTAAGCACTTGGGTTAAAAGTATACACTTAGCGCATTGAGTAATACACGAATTGCATACAAATTTAAAATGTAATCAAGAAATAAACATACATGTGCATCAATGGCAATTTACTTTTCAGCAATCAAACATCGAAAATTCACAGTAGCCAATAAATCAGCGACATTTATGATATCTACAGGCAAATCATATTTGAACATGTAGTTTCTAGTTCATCTAATTTCCAGCATTTGCAGTAAAACAATAAATTACCATGGCAATGAGGGAATAAATTATAAACCATATTGTCGAGGTAATCGTCTCGTGTTGTGCATGACAAATACAAATCCATCAATAATTTGTATTTAGTGACAAATCATAAACGAGAAATTAAGAGACTTGTAGCTAAATTGTACGACGAATAGAACAGATCTAGATAAGTAGTGCATACCCAAGTCAATCTTAACAAATTGAACATATTCATGACACTCTGTGATGAAGACTTTTTACTGTATTTCACGTCAGATCTGTAGAGTGTAAAGTATACTGTCTTGTAAAACCTTGTCAACAAAATATTGCTGAAAATCTTTACACTAAGAAACAAGATGAAATATTATCAATTTGATAGATTGATTGTTTATTAATAGGAAATAGTCCCGTGCAGTGTTTCAAACATTTTCAGGACGAAACCAAATTATTAATTAATACAAAAGGTAGCTTCTGCGAAGTGGGTCGACCGAGATGAATTATTAGTACATGATACATTTACTGCCTCTGAAAAAGTAGTCAAATGGAAAGAAGAAATGCTTATTGGATGCACTCGAGATCGCAATACATCAAAGGAGCAACTTTTTACTGCATGACAAGTGATGGATATTAATTAATACCACAGCTTTTTGCAAAATGAATAATTGCAAAACATCCTTATCCTCGAAAAGTAATCTCGAAGATGTCATGGCCTAACTCAAGATGTAAAGATGTCAAATTACAAACATTTCCCCTTTGTCTCACAAAATTAAATATTAAGATATGTTAGTATATTACAATATATAAATGAATATTTGTTATACCAGTTTTCTTTAACAATAATGTTATTATGCAAATCAATCATAATCAGACTGGTACCACTCAGTAAATAATTGGGTTATTTATATGGAAAAAATCCCTAGGCATACTTTCAATTGATCATATAACTCTTTAAATTCGTATATTCTTGGTTTTACATAAAATAAATTACTTTGTTGCTCAGCTAGAATTGGTGACACATATCATGAGAGTTTTACACTTTATTAAGTGTGACGTCAGAATAAACCTTCAACATATACTGATCTCATAAATCATTAGTGCAGACAACATGACATGGTTTGAAAAAATGCATAAAGATGGACATTGAAACTTAATTTGAAAATGCATTATCTTTTTTTGTTTTACAGAGCATATATATATATATATATATTTTCGTTTGGGCTTGTATTATACTTGCCTTCGGGTTTATATGATCCGTTTATCCTATTTCGACTCTTTCATTATTCAAGAGTCTATCGTAAATTGAGGTAAATTATATGGCCTTCCAAATACCGTTTCGATTCCTAACATCACTGAAGAGACATTAGTTGTCGAAATCCGGATATGGTGTACTAATTTTTGCACCTTTTGTTTGCGGTATACTATCTTTTCCGCTAGTTAATTGTTTTCTGTTTGGTATTAAATTAATAGTTAAGATCCATTTTGTTACATCTGGTGATCCGTTTATTTGGCAATCGCCAATGGCAGTCAGCAGGGTTTTTCGTTGTTCGACCTGCTAGTCAAATGTGTTTTGTAAAAAATATACTTTTTCACTTTTGTTGGTCTTTTGGAAAATGTTGTTTGTGCTGTATTTAGACCCTCTACCAAGAAATTTGTTTTGCATGCACACGTATAAAAATTGCGGTTTTTATCCAACGCAATCATAGGTTTGAACGTTGTTTTCAATTAAGACTTATATATATTCATTACTTGGGAAGGAATTTAGGCACTGTATGCATTAATTTAATGTTTCAGTTTTTCATATTGTAACGATAACATTTGGGAAAATTGTAATGAAACAAACACTAAAGTCTGAGATATATCACAAAAATTGTCTGTCTACTCATACACTTACTTCTGGGAATAATGTCTTTTAACTATCATTGTATGAACAAAACATTAACGGAACCAATTGTATTACACAATCTAACAATTGACTGCGTGTCGTAGTACTGTGATATGGTACCGACGGTTTGAATATGAATCAAATTGATATTCTTCACTTGCACCTTAAAATGTTACTGCGGTAGTTCCTTCGTCTCAAATCCCCAAATTTTCATTAAGTAAAAGAACCTACTGCAGTTACAAAAATCGTTGATGTTCGATGTTCAATTTATCATGAAGAGTATTTAAACTTCCACTTTTATTTATAATGAGGCTTTTTAATATGATTTTGTATGAGATTGGTCAAAAAGTTTCAAAATTAAAAGTTGTCCACAATTCCTCGATGTCGAAACCTATAATTACGATTTTCATACGCACCATACGTGTTTGTAGAGAAACACAAGATCAAACATGGAGAGAGTCACAATATGAAAAGGTATGCTATATCAAATTGAATAGGCTTTATCTTTAAATTTCAATAATATATTTAGATGAAAATATGATAATTTATTTCGTCTGATTTTCTCAAATTGCAGTATTCCAAATTAAATGCGTTTGATTATGACAATTTGCACTTCTTTAAGCAATATGTACGGTTACATATTTAATGAAAATTTCCGTAGTGCATTAGACTTTTGCCGGGTTAGGCACTTAGTGTAAATTTAAGGGTATCGACGAAAGAGTAATTTCATAAATCAATCAAAGTGTTCGTTATTTTTGCTGTGAATTTAAATCATGAGTTCGTATGAATGTATTGTCAATTACATAGTTATTTTCTTGCAAATTGAAAAATGTCAGTAAGGATTATAACAGTATGAAATTCTTTTTAGCGGGCAAAAGTACCTAAGAGCTTTTTGTTTAAAGCAAATATTCAGCCATCAAATATATTAATTTAACCGACAAAGGTATTCTAATAATTTTTTATTTGAGGTTCAGGACACTTGATACATTATTATTTTATTCATATTTAATCGACGCAATACAGTTATATAAATGCATGTAGTTATTGAATGAAAACTGTATTTTGCATTGTTTTCTCTCACAGAATCAATGTCAAAAATTGGTAGAACCTGATGGTATAAATATCGATAGAGTAATATATTTTGACAAAGTTTTTAAAAATACTATTGTATGCACCAAATCAAAATATCATTCTTCTAATCTGTACATTTTGCTGCTGAACATAACAAATTTTTAGAGGTTTTTGTAAAATTTTGCTTGATGTTGCATCTGAAACAAAAATGAAGAACAAAACACAATGCTTTCATTGTAAAATTTTCACGAAGACAACTTTTTTGTAAAGGCCATATGTTAACTTGTATAGTTTTGAACATTACTGTACATGTCATTTAGTTCTTTACGAGATAGTTGTATCCGTGGGAATTTTACCACAATTCCATATTTTTATTTTATTCAAAATTAGATCCCTGCTCACCTTAATCTATATGTATAATTTATTAAACTTGCCATATGTATTTGTTTCAAATGTTTTAATAAGTTTAAAATATGATATAATGTTGCCAAACCCCACGATCAATTCATGGGCGTTTTGTGCATAGCCCAGAATCTGTTTAAACTAATCTATAAATTTACTGTAGATTGATTTTAACAGAATATTTAGTTTTCAACGGAATGAAAATAATTGGAAATAGATCAGAGAATCATCTAATTTTAACCTCCGATGCTTATACATGATCTTCTAATTAGTGCATTCTTTCGAAAAAAGTTGTCGATCGTCACGTCACACTTTTTCTCCCGAATGCTCCATGCAGTTCATTCTTCAAAAGAAAGTTGGAAACTCTTTTGCCAAAAAAACGTTGTTTATTTATACCCTTTTTTTTAGATAAATGTTTTTAAACATTACAATTAAATGAATATGCGACATTGATGGTAATTATCAAAGACTTGGTTTCTGTTATCAGCAAGATTTTCACGTGGTTCGTGCTTTTCTCTGTAGAGTTATGATTACTGCTGGTTCCTCTGTTTCGTTTGTCTTTGGTATTGTCTGTCTTTCTATGACGTGTGGATTTGTAGTACTCCTTGGAATTGTTTTGGCGATGTTGTCTGTCTTTCTATGACGTATGGATTTGTAGTCTTCCTTGGAATTGTTTTTTCGGTGTTGTATGTCTGGATTTGTAGTATTTCTTGGAATTGTTTTGTCGGTGTTGTCTGTCTTTCCATAACGTAAGGATTTGTAGTATTCCTTGGAATTGTTTTGTCGGTGTTGTCTGTCTTTCCATAACGTATGGATTTGTAGTATTCCTTGGAATTGTTTTGTCGGTGTTGTCTGTCTTTCCATAACGTATGAATTTGTAGTATTCCTTGGAATTGTTTTGTCGGTGTTGTCTGTCTTTCCATAACGTATGGATTTGCAGTATTCCTTGTAATTGTTTTGTCGGTGTTGTCTGTCTTTCCATAACGTATGGATTTGTAGTATTCCTTGGAATTGTTTTGTCGGTGTTGTCTGTCTTTCCATAACGTATGAATTTGTAGTATTCCATGGAATTGTTTTGTCGGTGTTGT